CTACACAATGCCTAAGCACTTCCCCACTGTCATTCGATTTTGCTAGCGAATGACTAGTGTTCTTGAAGATCGTGGTATTTGCATTAAATTTTATGATGAATATTTTATTTTTTAAAAAATTACTGTGTATCTGCTGTGGCATTCTGTGTATACTACCACTTCTTCCCCTCCTTCTACTTTCCCCCTTTCATCTAAAGATTTGTTTCCTCACATTAGAGGAAAGCCAACAGAGATCTAAAAAAAATACAGTAACTGAGCTTGAATTCATATTGGCAAATGTACGCTGGCTAATTTTTAAAAGACTTCCCTCTCCAAATATTATGAACCCTTTACCGTCCCCCACGCAGTTTGCCAAGAATGAAAAGACAAACAATAACGACAACAACAATGACAACCAGAAGAAGTGGGCTGGCCCTCCGAAGGGCAGCTGTGTCTCACACCAAGAAAGTCTCATGAGCTCAATGTACAAACACCAGGAAAAAGGGTTCTTTCTGTGCTTCTTTCAGAAGCTATTCAATTGTTTCCCTTCCCTTATTAGCTCCACAGTTATAAAAAGAAAATGTGTACTTTTCTCCACAAAGCCCAATCTAACTCGTCCTGTTTCCAGAGTAAACTTGTACTGAAGGTGAAGTTTTCCACCTCAAGGTCATGCTTATGAGTCTGGAGCTTCATGGTATATTATATACATTCAAATGTGGCCTTTTGGACTTCTTTCCTAACCCTGCTCTCCAACCATCACCAAACCCATCTCCAGACTGCCTTCCCCTCCTCCAATTTGTATGGATAGTGAGAATGCTTTCTAATCTACACTCATATGTGCAATCTACAAGAGGCATCATCCCCATGGCTAGGGTGCTGTCTGAAAGAGCCCGGTACAAGGCTGCCCAGCTGCATCTATGCTCTCCTGCTTCCACAGGAGCACAACCTGAACCACATTAATATGCCTAATTTCTTTTGTGAGTTCTTACTTGCTCGGAAAGAGGTGTGTGTGTCCTGGAAACTCTTAAGAGTTATTATATATCCCTAAATCTTGTGAGAGAGAAGAGCCACTGTGAACCTCTAGGTTACAAATAGCTGAATGAACATACAAGTAAATCAAGCCAATCTAACTTGCCTTTTGAAATTAACTGAATTGCCTTCTTAGAAATCAAGCAATGTGATGCATAAGGTAAGGTGGCTGATTGGAGTATGAAGGCAACACAAGGAGGCATGAACTTAGTGTCTTGTACGACTAACCTGGCAAGGGAATGGAAACCTGCTCTTCCTTGCTAGAGCTGGGTGTGTGCACTTGCTAAACTTACATTTTGTCCACTTGTAAATCAGGCTCCTCTCCAGGACAACTTTTAGCTGCCCCAGCCTAATAGGGCTAGGCAGCTATTATTATATTTAAACCATATCTCTAGGGGGGTGGGGTAAATCAGATCTGGGGACCCAGCAGTGGACTTCAAGATCAAGGCGAGGACAACGCCAAGCTGTGTATATAGCCCAGCTATGAAAGAGAGCAGGTTTACCAGTGGTAACTTTGAATTTAAGGCAAAATTCATTCTATGAAAATAAGTTACCAACTATTTGCAACAGTAGCTTCACATGGATTTATTTTTCTCCCATGTCCAGATGGGGTCGTCTATTGAATGAGGCTCTTTTATTTTGCATTGGGCAGGGGATTTGTGACCATGGTCCCCCCTTTTATTCCTCTCTCTATGGAAACCCAGATCATGGGGAGAAATATGCAAAGCTAAATAAAGAGAAGCCACAGAAAGGAGCGCTTGAGAGCGGCATCTGTTACACTTGGGAAGTTAGACTGACAGGAGAGGGCGAAGGAAACCTCTCCAGTAGATTAGTTAGAACAGCAAGAAGATTTGACTATATGCAGATATTTTCTTCAGAAACAAAACACCTTACTTGCATGAGAAGATTCTATCACAGCTACTCCAAGATGTGCTTGCATGTGAATTTAATAAGTGATATCTATATTCATGGGAAATATTTTTAAAACAAATAGGAGAGTGAGAGAGACACACAGAGAGAAAGAAATCAGAGGGAGGGGAGAAGGGAAGGAAAAACAAAGAAAGGAAAGGAAAGGAAAACAAGTACTTCGGGTTTTGCTCCTGACAGAAGGCATTGTTACATTAAAAGACAGCAAAACGAGGGTGTCAAAAACCTGTCGCTGGGTGTAGATGCCTCCTATTCGATCCTCCCCCCTCTCGCCCGTGCAAGCCTGGGAACAAATGGTCTGAATCTTTTTTTTTTCCGTTTCTGGCGAAACCAGTTGCCCAGAGCAGAGGCCAAGGGCAAGAGGAAGGTTGATTCTAAGGACTCAGGCAAATCAGTCTTGGAAAAAGACCCCCTTCTTCTTCATGCAAAAGTCTTATCAATTGATAATTGCCTTAACCCCCTGAATGGTCAGACTAAGATTAGCAACTCTTTCACCCAAACGCAGCTGCAAGGTGGGGGTGGGGAACCCACCGCCGCTGCCGCCAACAACATGGTAATGATCATGATCTTTTTGCTAGTATGGTTTCATCACTCTGCTTCCTTCTGACCTCTAAAGTTATCCCCAGACTGGCAAGTGCACCCTCGATCAGGCAGCCTAACAGAGCACCTGAAAAGTTTTATTTTTCGTTTGATTTTAACAAGTTTTTTTTCTTCAGGAAGCAAGAGTTCAGATACAAATGAGGCTGCATTCTTGCAAAGGAAGATACACACAGTTGGCAGTAAACAAACGACGTTCCTAAGCAAAAAAAAAGGAGAGGAGAGGAGGAGGAGGGAGGGAGGGAGAGAGAGAGAGAGAGAGAGAGAGAGAGAGAGAGAGAGAGAGAGATATTCTAGGTTAAAAGCAGATAAGCCTTTACAATAGGGCACCGGCAAATGAAACCACAATTTCAGTGAGGGAGGACGAGGGGGAAACATGGTAAAGGATCCTAGCTGCCAATAATTACTAAGTGTTTATCCTTTTTTTAAAGAAAGAGAAAAAGAAAGAAATATATCTCAAACAGATGCTAGGTTTTCCTGCCTAATAGACACAATTTACATTAACCAACATAAGCTTCTGTTGCTCTGTGCTCTCACAAGTAATTACTTATTTCACAGGAAATAGATGCTCTTTAGCTATATAAAGGAATGGCAGAATAAGCTCACCTTGTTTTTATTTTTCTCATTTTCCTGCATTTTCTTCAGATCTGTCTTCTTAGAGAAACTAATGCCTTAATGACTTTCTGGTAGCTGCAAGCCTTCTTTTATTTCTGCTAAATATATGAAAATGTATGCAAATTTAAATCAAGCTTAACCTAGGAGCTCTTGCAATATATTTAATGGAATTTCAAACCAATAAGGGAACTCTAATGCTGTCTTCTGTGAGTGCAAATATAATTACGCAGCTAGGTTACCTCCAAAATTATGCAATGAAAGGTCATTTTTTAACTTCAGAGATCGCGTTGTGTATCCAGTGTTTCCTTATCCCAGCTAGAGGAAATCTTTGTATTTCACCATACTCTGTTTACAAGCAAAAATCTTTGCGTGGGGCTTTTCAGCAGACAGACTTATTTTCCCCAAACTTCTAAGAGCTTAGGTGGAGTACAAGTATTTCTCCCTTTCCGCTAACCAAAAATTAAAACACTACTGTTCTCTCAAGCTGAAAACTAATTCAAGCTTGAAGGGGATGGTGGGGGTAGTGGTACTTAATGCCAGTCTTCTCCTCTCCTCTTCTCTTCTCTTCTCTTCTCTTCTCTTCTCTTCTCTTCTCTTCTCTTCTCTTCTCTTCTCTTCTCTTCTCTTCTCTTCTCTTCTCTTCTCTTCTCTTCTCTTCTCTTCTCTTCTCTTCCCTTCTCTTCCCTTCTCTTCTCTTCTCTTTTCTCTCTCTGGCATAGTAAATGATTCCCATTTACTTCAACTTGTCTGCGATGATGGTGGGGGAAATACATATTTGTTAAAAAATTTTTTTTCCCAAAGGACAGCATCAGGCGCGGTGGTCGGAACGTTGCCCTGCATACCTATTGGGACTAGGTCGGCTGAGAGTCTGCGGTGAGTGTGAGGAAGGACTGCCAGCTTCAGCAAGCACTGCCTCTGACAGAAGTTGTGGGACCGCTGATGGGAGCTGACATAGAGCCATGATAAAAACCAAGTCTTCCAATTAACCAACAGTTTTGGGAGGCAAACTTCAAAATACGTGAATGTTGACAGTATCACATTTGATTTTACTTTCCCAGAATCTTCCAGTTCTTCATGCCTTAAAGCATTTTTTTCATCAGAAGAAACTGAGTATATCTTAGATGCTTTCTGACCTTGGTGTCCAGTTTCTTATAAATGTGAAATGAAATACATAAGCCAAAATAACTCTTATTGGAACCATGGGCATCAGTCTATAGATTCTGGTTCCTATCGAAGACGTTCCTTTTCCTTAAACTTTGTAGCAAGGTTTTGTTTTTCATTCCTCTGTACACAACTAACTAGTAAGCCAAATGAATGTGAGAAAATCCCATATCCGCTAAGATATAGAAGACATTTAAATTGGTTATATTGTTTTCTTTATATTTTTTTCATTCTCTATTTGGATTAACCTAAATAATCTAAAATAAGTTCTAAAGCCATTTTGCTGTCTCACCCCCGTCAGCGTCCAAATACATACACAAACACACATATCCCTCTGATTCTTCCCTCCCCACCCCCCACTACCAACACAGGCAAAGTAAATGGTGGTGGTGGTGATGGTGGTGATGGTATAACCAAATAAGCTGCTGCCCGCCACTCAACGCGAAGCAGCCAATGGAGCAGAAACATTTGATTCACTTCCTGCTTGGGTCTCCCTGAAACTCTCAGAGCTTCGCCAGCTTAATTTGGACAACTAGCCCAGCCTCCCGCACCTCCATTGGCTGAACCCACGGCAGGCCAGGCTGGGATGCTCTCTGATTGGCCGAGGTGGGTGCCTGTAACTCGCTCAGGCTGCTCTGGCTCCCCAGCACGATAGATGTCAAAGGCTGAAGCTGCTCTCTTTGCCACATTATAACTAGTAGGGGATCCTCACCGACCATGGCCACAGCTGCGTCGAATCCCTACAGCATTCTCAGTTCCAGCTCTCTGGTCCATGCGGACTCTGCAGGCATGCAGCAGGGAAGTCCTTTTCGAAACCCTCAGAAACTTCTCCAAAGTGATTACTTGCAGGGAGTTCCTAGCAATGGGCATCCCCTTGGGCATCACTGGGTGACCAGTCTGACCGACGGAGGCCCATGGTCCTCCACACTGGCCACCAGCCCCTTGGACCAGCAGGACGTGAAACCCGGGCGCGAAGACCTACAGCTCGGCGCGATCATCCATCACCGCTCGCCTCACGTCGCCCACCACTCTCCGCACACTAACCACCCCAATGCCTGGGGGACGAGCCCGGCTCCGAACCCGTCCATCACATCGAGCAGCCAACCCCTTAATGTGTACTCGCAGCCAGGCTTCACCGTCAGTGGCATGCTGGAGCACGGGGGGCTCACCCCACCACCGGCCTCCGCCTCTGCACAGAGCTTACACCCAGTGCTCCGGGAGCCCCCAGACCACAGCGACCTAGCCTCGCACCACTGCCAGGACCACTCGGACGAAGAGACACCAACCTCAGATGAGTTGGAACAGTTCGCTAAACAGTTCAAACAAAGAAGAATCAAGTTGGGTTTCACGCAGGCCGATGTGGGGCTGGCACTAGGCACACTGTACGGCAACGTGTTTTCGCAGACCACCATCTGCAGGTTCGAGGCCTTGCAACTGAGCTTCAAAAACATGTGCAAGCTGAAGCCGCTGCTGAACAAGTGGCTGGAGGAGGCTGATTCGTCCACAGGGAGTCCGACCAGCATTGACAAGATCGCGGCACAGGGCCGAAAGCGCAAGAAGCGAACCTCCATCGAGGTGAGTGTCAAGGGTGTACTGGAGACGCATTTCCTCAAGTGTCCCAAGCCTGCCGCGCAGGAGATTTCCTCGCTGGCAGACAGCCTCCAGTTGGAGAAAGAAGTAGTGCGTGTCTGGTTCTGTAATCGAAGACAGAAAGAAAAAAGAATGACTCCACCAGGGGAACAGCAGCCACATGAGGTTTATTCGCACACCGTGAAAACAGACACGACCTGCCATGATCTCTGATTGCAGGAAGGGAGCAAGTGACCCGCCGCACTGGGAGCAGCGCGGATCTCTGTTTCTCTCTTATTCCCTTCCTTTCACTCCAGCTTTATTATTGTTATCTTTCTAGACCTCTCTCTTTCTCTCTTTTTTCTTTTCTTTCTCTCCCCCACCTTTTAACAGGGGGTTCTAACTTATATTAAGACAGGAAACACACATGCATTCAAGGCTTCTTAACACTTATACACGGTTTCATTAAGCAGTCCAAGCGGGAACTTCATATCCCTTGCCGCCCGAGGAACAGTTCTCTCCAACCTCTTCTGTTGATCAATATATATTGTTTACTTTGAGTAAGAATTGTTTGGTTACTCCTCTCTAGGAAGAGCAAGGAGTGGGGTAACTTGGGGTTGGGGTAGGGATGGGGGAGGGAGATGGGAAGACAGATGTGTGCCTCTGAATAACCTTTCAGCGCCTTGGTTATAGCAGCTGTATTTCAGGTGAAATCTGTTTTACAATAGACTAGTTTTGCATTTTTAAAAACTTCTATAGCATTTCTAAATGTCTGCGGTGTTTTACTACAAGCTGTACACAATATTTGTGAGATGATTTGTATCTAATCGACCACTCCACATTATTATTGCTATTATTATTATTCCTTCATTGAGCTGATGTTTTTTTAATTGCTTAGAAAAGGGAGGGGAGGTTGGAAGGAGGAGGGTGAGAGATGTGCATATCATTCACTCACCCCCGCATCCCAAATCTGTAAGGAGACAAGGAGATACAACGGAAAGAATTGTTGGTGATGATATTGACGAGATTTTATATATGTATATAAATTTATATATATATATATAATCTCACCAATATATATAATTGTTTTGTTTTGTTTTGTTTTGTTTTGTTTTGTTTTTCCCTGTGAGTGGAGTGCCTAGGATGGGCAGAATAGGCGAGCTGATTGGGTTTGCAAAGTAGTGCGAAATGGAGAGGTGATTTTGAAAGATTCTGCCCTCCCTGCCAGAATAGTGGGGCCCCGGAAGGGCTTCTACAGCGCGAATCTGGGTGCCAGAGAAGGATTCCGCAGCAGCGCTTGAGCGATAGATGTCGGCTTGAGGAGCTGAGAGGGCTTCTGAACCTACTGAGGTACGGAATGCCTGCACTCGGAGCTCCTCCAGGACCCGGTGCCTCTCCAAGCCAACCGGCAGCGCTACCCGACGTCGGCCTCCCAGGCGAAGGACTTTGCCTTTACATGCTTTTGATTTCACTGGAGAGGACACCCCAGAGACGCTGGCGACAGACTGGGTCAGCACCTCACAGGTCGGTTCACTTCCAGTTCAACGCCTGCTCCTTGAATGAGAGAACTTCGGGGAGGGGTGGCGAGGGCGCTCCTCTGCTCTCTGCAAAACAACAGTGGAATGATTGGCAAAGGTCACAGGGATTTTGGTCTAGCTCCGTAGAACATCCTTTCCCATGTATATAGCGCTGCCGCTGAGTCGGCTCACACGGGGAGCCATCTCCACACCTCGGAAAAGCACAGCTGGCGGAAAGTCCACAGCGACGACTGGGCTAGTTAGTGAGAGCCCCGGCGTATGGATTTCTGTTTTTTATCTCTTTTGTGTATGTGTGCGCGTGTGCGTGTCTGCAAACGTGTGTGTGTGTGAGTAGATAGTTGTTTGTATCGTATTACTATTTACAAAAAACAAAAACTACAAAAAAATCGCGCTAGGCTATGTAGAGATTCAAAAAACATGCAGTTGCTGTGGCTTTATGACTAGCTCTCAAGCCCACAGGCCAGGTCCACAGAGACATCTCATTCCCAAGGAGCATGCATGTACTGGCTGGCCAAGCACCCAGCGCCCAGCCGCTGCTTGCCAGACCTGCCTGGAAGCTTGTATGACAGGGCCGGCCACCTAGCTTGGGCCTTCAGGCTCAGCTGTGGTAGACAAAGCTTCAAACTACCTACCTAAGGACCAGATAGCCTAGGGCCCCTTGTTGAGGATGCACTAGTAAGGGCTGCCATGACTCTGGTCCACCACACTGTGTGCCCCCCAGCCGCAGGTCCAAGAGCATGAGTTAATTGAAATCCCAGACCCTTTTTCTTTTTTTTTTTGTCAAGTCTTTGAATTCTGTTGGTAGTTGGTTTTTAGTTCTGGGATGTTTTTTCCACATTGAGTTCATGTGTTAAAACTGTTAGGCTTGTTTTTGTTTGTTTCAATATTTTTCTTTGCAGTTAAGTGCTATGGTTCAAACCTGAGTTAACCCAAATATTTCTGCTGACTTTATAATTGTACAGTTTTGTATATTAAACGTTTTTGAAGTTATTAATTTAAAGAAAGATCATTTAGTTTATTCATTCAGTAACTGATGTATAATAAACGCTATTTTCATTAAGAGTTGCTTTTTCAACTATTTTATTCAAATTGCCTATTGCAGTTGCCAGCAATTATTTATTTTCAATAAATTCTGCATTGTGTTAAAAAGGAGACTCTTTGAAAGATTAGTTGAGTGTCAAAAAGAAAACAATTCGCTGTAATGTTTGATGTGAACAGTTTTAGTCAAGGGGTTTATATTGACACAATATTTTATTGTTGTAAAAGATTAAAAACGTTTAAATAAAACATTTTCCAAAAAAATCTGTTTTGTTTTCCTCCTGGCTGTATTGTGTGGTAGTGTGTAGAATGAAGCATTTAAACAGAGACACATTCCCATTAAACAGTATATCTGCTTTGCTTCAGGTTAGAAATCATTAGTCATTATTTTTGATTCTTGATTCTTTCCTTCTGACTTTTGGCCTTTCGTATACTTGCATACATAGCAGGGCCCGTTATCATGCCCAAGCTCAGGGCCATTGTCAGGCACAACACACCCTGAATGTTGTGAAACAAGGCAGCTTAAGAAAGGCTGACAAGGCAGGCTGTTCATTTCAGGAGGTGCTATCTCTTTAAGTTCTCAGAAAGGAGTATATCTCTCTTTAGTCCAAAAGATAAACACTTCTCTGAAATGGTGCCTCCTAAAATTGGACCCATACCTTCTCTGCGTCATTTGCCTCACCCACTTATCTTCTTTTTCTTTCCCATTCCTGCTGAGTGCCCTTTTGGTCAGCTCCTGTCCTCCTGAAGGAAGATGACTATATGTAAGAAGTGCTACCCTTTTCCTTGGGTCCAGAAACTGGGATGAATTGTCCACTTTGTATTGCACTTTAAGGCTAAATTCTGTTCATTCCTATGAATTGAGGGGAAGAAAATAGGATTATACAGAGACATTAGAAGAAAAAGTTTGTTTTACTACTCTTCATCTCATTTTTATATACCATTTCACCTCTGTTATTTTATCACAAGACCCTCTGTAAAATAAGGGAGAATTACCTGTAGTGATGGCTGAGGAGTAATTTACTAAGTCAGAAGCAGTTATGTTTTAAGTCTTTGTATGTACAAGCATGCTTTATCCAACTTTTTGTTGTAGGTGCACATCAAGCAATAGACATTTAACTATAATTTCCCCAAAATAAATATTCTTCTCAATTCATACTCTGAAGTGTTTTTTTGTTGTACAAAGCAAAATTATTTAATAGGTGATGATTATCACATGTAATGTCTTGCATTTTTCAGATTGCCTAATCATTTACAGCTGCACAGTGTACCATACACTTCTGACTGTTGTATATAAAATATGCTACATGTTGTGTGTATACTCATGGGCATATTTCTCTTTATAAATAATACTGATTCTATAGAGATGTGTCTACAAACACAAAATCTATAGTCTTAAACCTCTTGGTTCTCTTTTGGTTCTTGCCAACTAACCTCTTCCTCTTTCAATACTGTATAAATTTTTTAAATAGATTTTTTCAATTATAGTTTACATTCAGTGTTATTTTGCATGAGTTTCAGATGTACAGCATAGTGGTTAGACAATCATATATTTTACAATTTGTTCCCCCTGTTATTTTCAATACCCGCCTGACACCATACATAATTATTACAATATTATTGACTATATGTCCCATGCCGTACCTAACATCACCATGATTATTCTGTAACTACCAATCTGTATTTCTCACTTCCTTCAGCTTTTTCACCTAGTCCCCCAACCTCCCTTCTGGCAACTAATGGTTTGTTCTCTGTATCTATAATTCTGCCTTGAATTGATTAAGAAATGTATAGTTAGTTCTTACTAACGTACACAGAACCCAACTACCAGTACATTCAGAACTCTTTAATGGAGCCATAAGCAGATATGTTACAAGATACTTATTTAAATATAAATAGACATTTATCACCATCGATATTTTTACTATTCATTACTGATACATACATTTGATACATATTTATGAGACTTGTTTCCTTTATTGCCTCTTTTATTTCTTTTAAAAATATAACTAAAGTCTGGTTAGCTTTTATGATAACTTCCTTACTAACCTCATTATATCATTAACATTATATTTTCATTAAAATTCAAGGGAGGTTGGGGTCTTTGCATGAGGTTTTCTTTGTTTTGAGGTTGCCACCACCCCATTCCCAACCAAGGCCTTTGTAGGAAAAGCAGCTTTGGCCTCGGTTTCTCTCAAGCCTGTGCAGTACTGTTTTTTTCTCACATGATAATTTGTAAGTTAAAAACAACAATAATGCTTTACTTTATTTAACAGGGTAAAAGCAAAAAAAGCTTCATCTTCACCTCATCAGAGCAATAGAAGATATTGGGGGGTGGGTAGAGTGTGAAAAAAGTAAGCATTTAGGTGCTACAGATAGGTAAATGAAGTCATATATATGAATCATGTATGCAATTGCATGCATATATAGACAGACATAGGTTGATTGTCTATATGGCAGCAACTTTCTGAATACACAACAAAATGTAAATGGATTATTAAACTCTAGCATGTACCTTTTCATCAAGAAAAGAAAAGAACTATTACGCCTAGAAATCAGTTTCTTATCTTTAAAAAGAAAAGAGTAGGGAAACCATTGCCTGCATTAGTACATGAACTGTGTTTGTCTTTACTAAAATAAAACACTGTTCCATTGGAAGTGTTTAGGATTTACATATTTCCCTTACTCCCAAATCCGGATGTTGTTGTTGTTGTGTAAGTTACCTGTAGGGTACAGGTAGGCTTACCATAAATATCTGTTTTTATTTAAATTATATTTTTAGTAAGAAGGGAAGAGAAGAGATAAAATGGAGAAGTAGAAAGTGATTAGAGTTTAAGATGTAATTTTCCAAAGAAAAGAATATATTTTTTCCACCTGTTGAATCTTTAAAGACACATGTAGAACCTTAGAGTTGAGAAATTACATGTACAATTTGATATTTAAAAATCCAAACATGTGACCCTTTCAAAAAAATCTTGAAGAGAAAGTAACAATGAAAAGGGAGAGACAGAAAACTGTACTTAAGAAATAATTAAATTAAAAAAATGAAAAAAAAAAGAAAAACAATACCATGTGACTTGATATCATTTACACTTACCCATTCTCTAAAATTAAAACATAGAATATGCTTTATACTTGCCCCAGATAGTAGTTTCCAAAATAGCGATCCTCTACCTAACTCATTTACATATGTTAATTTTAAAGCATTAAGAAAAGTGAATATGAAATATATTTGAAATCAATTAAGACATTTTTCTTTTTTATAAGAAAATAAATGTATCTTTTTTAAGAGCTCTGCTGATAGAACATTTTTTAAAGAATTATTTAAAAGAATACTATTTTAAAAACAAATTTCAGTTAATTCCTGTAACATCTAAAAGGGTGGGGGTTAGAGTAACACATACAATATAGACCTCTACTATTGTTTTTGTAAACAGAATTTACAAAATTAAAGTCTTGTGACTTCTGTCGAAGAAAACGCATTAGATCACTATGCTTTCTTTCACAAACATGACTACAGAATTTATACCTATTCACATGTGATCTAACTCACTAGCTAAAAACTAGGTTCTCTTTACAGCACTATTTGTTATCAAGGAGGATTTAATACAAGATTGGTTCATATTGGATGGCTTCTTAAGGGGGCTTGTTTTTTTTTTTTACTGAATATGCTGGGGTGAAATTGGTTAATAAACTATACAGGTTTTAGGTGCACAATTCCACAACACGTCATATGTATATTGTATTGCGATTAGCACACCAAGTCAATTCTCCTTCCATCACCATTTATCCCCCACTTACCCTTTTCTACTTCCCTCCATCCAAAGAGGGTTTGTTAAATCAACTATCAAAGGGGCATTGTGTAAGGTGGCTTCACTCTCTAAGGTAGGAAATCATGGGTTAGTTGGCTTTGGGGTGAAACTCTACAGGATTTCATACATGTGTATATACAAATCCCTACAACTGTAAACATGCTCCCTATTTCCTTCCCCTCACTTTATTTCTGCACTTGCACACAGACAGGGTGATTTAACAGAAAGCAGACTGTCCTCAAAGACAGAAAATAAATCAACTCATTGACCAATTCATTAGGTATGTTTTTTCATCTCTCCAGCTACTTACACTGTGCCCACAATATTCTGGCATAGCCAATTGAAAAGAGAAAATATCAGTCTATCAAACTCTTGTTTTATCTACATAATGTCAAAAAACATGGTTTGAGTTATCCTCCCCCATAGTGTGACACACATTGAATTGAATGCTTGCATTTTCATGTATCAGCATTGATTCTTTTATTTTTTAAGATTTTATTTATTTTATTTTTAGACAGAAAGGAAGGGAGGGAGAAAGAGAGGGAGAGAAATATCAATGTGTGGTTGCCTCTCATATGCCCCCAACTGGGGACCTGGCCCTCAATCCGGGCATGTGCCCTGACTGGGAATCAAACCGGACCCTTTGGTTCACAGGCTGGAGTTCAACCTACTAAGCCACACCAGCCAGGGCAGCATTAATTATTGAGGAAAGGTCATATAAACACTTAAAAATATTTTATTTATTTATTTTTACAGAGAGGGGAAGAGAAGGAGAAAGAAGGAGAGAAACATCAATGTGTGGTTGCCTCTCACGTGCACCTACCAGGGACCTGGCCCACAAGCCAGGCATGTGCCCTGCCTGAGAATCAAACAAGCAATCCTTTGGTTTGCAGGCCAGTGTTCAATGCACTGAGCCACAGAAGTGAGGGCCAGATAAACATTTTAAATATTGATTTTTCTTGTCTTTCCAGTTATTTATTCACATACTGGAGAATCTCATTATAATATGGTTGATTATCTCCCAAATTTGACCAGACCAGAGTCCAGCCTTTGCTCTGCCCCCTCCTTTGCACAGATGTGGAAATGTCTGTTATAAAAGTGAGCATGTAAATTGGGTTTTGTATCCCCCCACCAAACAAAT